CCAACCCTCCCCCCTCCCCCCCCCCCCCCCCCCCCCCCCCCCCCCCCCGAAATGAAATCCATGATACGATGACGAACTCGAATCGATTAATCGATTCCCAATCGAGTCTTGCACTCTGAAAAAAAAATAAAGAAGCAATTGCAAGCAACTCATTACTTTCCTGCACGTGCTGTGAACCAGCTACGGGCACCAGTACTGATAATTCTCGCTTTTATCCTCCGTAGAGTTATATTTAAATGATAAAAAATTGCGAATAATAACGAGGGGAAAATACACTGGTTTCCAAAACTTAAGGAACGCATTGAAAATCCGATATGACGTGAACTGCTATTGATCTATTGATGGAACAAATAGAAAGGAACAAATAGATTTTCCCAAGTTCCGCAACACCCCCGTCATGAAAATGGTCGAAGCATACAGGAGTGCATAAATTAACGATGCTACGTTGCCATTACGCATGAAACGTGGTGGAGATCGCCCGCTGATTTGCAAATCGCACGTCTTTAAAGGACGGCGCTCCGAGGGGGGTAGCGCAGTTCACGTCAAATCACGGATTTTCAGTGAATGTGTTCCTTTAAGTTTTGGAAACCAGTGTATTTACCGTATCCACTAACCTCGGATTTTTCACAACTTCCCGACGTTCTAGCTCGACTGCTTCAAATTGCCTCAACTGTCATTTTTGCGGTCGAGTTCTTGGCCAGCCGATCAGCCGAAAAGGCCGTGGTCGCTACAGCAGGTCGCTACAGCAGGTCGCTACAGCAGGTCGCTACAGCAGGTTGCTGCAGCAGGTCGGTGCAGCTACGACCGAAACGGAACGGAAACAAGCAACCGCTTCGATGCAAGTCGGGTCGAGACGGCGGAAAACTCGACTGAGTCAGCAAACGAGACGGTGGAAAGCCAGTTTGAGAGTTAATGAGGCACTTTCGAGTCACTCCGGGCCAGACAATATCCGCGAACAATGGATTACAATTCACTCAAAGGAACAAGGGAGTGCGACTCGAGACCGACGTGACCTTGACCTTCGACGTGACCTTGAACAAGGCACAAGAAACTATACTACTCAGCTATCATGCCCTTTTCCTCACCTCCGGTTAACTTTGAAATTACCTTGTGCAAGACTGCAGTAACAGGCTCTGAATCGACTTGAATGGATATGAATACCTGCTCTTACGCGTTTCTGCTTTCGTCCGTTTCATTCCGACAACGTCGTCTTCATTCCTGTGCGTTACATTTTTCGGGAAAATATCCCATAGTTTATTTTTTGCTGCAGCGAGGAGTTAAAAAAAGAAACTTCCTGCTGCAAGCCATCAGTTGATTCAGCCTGCAAAACAGGCATTAAGAATATATTTTGGAATCGATTGAAACTAGATCAATTTTTAAAATCGCGATTAGAATTATTACTGGTTAATCGGTTGATTAATTTGTCAGCCCTAATAAAAACATTCTCAGATCCACTAATACCCACCCCAAACCCATGGGTTTCCCCGCGGTAAGGAAACCAGGAACCGAATCATCTAAGTTTCAACAGAGTCGATCCAAATCGAGCTTATAAATTGAACCGGAATGCTGAAGTTGTCCGACACTTTTCGATCGTTTCTCCCGAATCAGCGGGGAAGGACTGCGATGCTTGCCGTGCGAGAAGGTGGAATGCCCGCGGGACTTCGACGCCTCCGAGTGCAGGGTCGGCGTCTCCACCGACGTCTGCGGGTGCTGCCCGAGGTGCTTCAGGGTGAGTCTGGCCTCCCCCCCCCCCTCATGAGGGGGGCCGAATTCCATCGCTGCGATGTCGTGGATTTTGCAGGACGAGGGCGAGACGTGCGGAGGGCCTTGGTTCGTCGGGGGACGCTGCGGCGAGGGGATGCGGTGCGAGAAGGGGCCGAGCCCCGACGGCGACTCGTACTGGGAGTTCAACGCGTATGGCGTCTGTGTCGTTGGGTGATGGGTCTCTGGGGACTGTCGGGTTTTGCGTTTTTATTCAGCGAGAAGACAAAAATAAAAGCTTGCACTCGATTCCCTCAATGTGAATCGGATGGATTGTGAATCGATTTTAGTAAGTCTTCGTGCGGTTCCAACCTCTGCCGACTTTGGTCACGGTGATGAGAAGAAGTATCCATTTCAGATACCGCAAATTACTCCATGTACCTGTGAAGCAATGGCGGATCCGGGTGTTAGGCGATTTAGGAAAAAAGCCACCCGGAAATGGTCGCAGAACTCGCCGATGAACCATGGTCACATACGAGCCGTGTGTGATGTGGCGGGTCGACCAGGCCGTGGTTCGTCAGCAAGTTTGTCTCGGCCTCCTGCGAACTCCTTACACCAGAAACATGCTTGCTTCTTGGACGTGTCGTTCGAACCATACACCTCTTGCAGTTGACGATGAATTTCAGCCGGTGGAATTCCTTTGGCATCGAGAAATCTGATAACAGCACGCACCAGTGGCGTAGCTACCGAATGTGCAAGCGGTGCGATTGCACCGAGGCCCACGGGCCAGAGAGGTCCAGACGCCGAGATACGAAGGGGGAAGGCAGGGGACGGGAGGGGAGGGGAGGTGTAGGGGAGGGGGGGGGCGTTTTCGTTTTCGTCCGTTTTCGGATCTTGGAGAGAATCCCAGGAGAGATTCCAGGATCAGTTTCAAAAGAAGCAAAACGGTGACTCGCGATTTCGCCTCGTAATTCCGATTTTCACAGGCGTGCAACTTGGCAACTCACACCTGAACCAAACAATTTTTCCCATCGCTCGAAGTCGATTCTTCCCGAAGTTTCCCTGCTCCCCGCAGACCTACCAGATGGCAGCTGTGCCAATCGAGGACTTTAGGGCTCAATCCGAAGAGTCCGCGCGTCAGTCCAGCCGAGTCCACCGGGAAGAGGGCCCAGGTCGGGGGACGAGATTCTGACTAAATCAAGGAATCTCCTCATTCTACGATGCCTAATTGGGCATGGTTCTCTCGCCAGTCGGAGCTTCTAACCTTGAGGTCATTGGTGCCTCTGACTTCGTGGTCATAGGTGCTCTGACGTCGAGGTCATCGAAGCTCAGACTTGGAGGTCCCCCATCCGAGTAAAGTCGATGGTGATCGAGTTTGGAGTATGGAGACTCATCCCCACACTCATCCCCACAGTCATCCTTGAAGTCTTTCCTCGGGATCATTCACTTCTTGCGTCTTTCGAGATTGGATCGCTTCGAGTCTTGGTGTCCCTCGTGGTCTCGCTGCTTCTGCGGCGTTTGTGGAACTCTTCAGGCAGTTGCGATGGGTCCATCGTCGCCTCGGTTTCGTGGGGTGAGTGAGGCCGGAGTCGTGCGTTTGGAATCGCGACGGTGTCCGTCTCCTGAGCGTTTACTGCGTGATATGCCGTCCTTTCTGCTCGTTTCGTCCAGCTGCACAATTTTGTGGGCTTCTAGGGGTTGGGGGGGGGGGATCCAGGTGCTCGATGTAGTCGACTTGCGTATCTTTAAACGGGACACTTCCTGGTCCGAGACTGAGGGCTCATTTGCTTCTTCAGTTTGACCAAGGATTCAAAGGGCTACGAAGGATAAACCTCTTCGGCCTTTTCGAGCCCCAGGACCGACCAGGTGGAGCCCATGGAGCCTGCGGGAAGCGCGACCGACGTCCACGAGTCTCACCGGACTCTAATAGTGAAATGGATCGGCCCAGTGCCATCTGCATCCCAAGTAACACAAGATATTCCAGCAACTTTTAGGAAATGTTGATGGAAAATGTTGCATCTATGTGTCCAAAACGTCAACGTTGCTCAAATGTTGCGAAGGAACATTGCATTTACGTTGCAAATCGCTACTTATTCGTTACATATACGTTGCAGGTACGTTTCAGGATTTATGATTTTAATTCAGGATTTTAACGTTGCTTCACGGGCACCTAATCTGGGCCTATATTGGCATTACGGAAAAGCGTAGGCTTCACTGGTCCTGAACTGGACCGACATTCGACCAATATTGAATTATTTATTTCATCCATTCTCATCAACAGGACGAAGCCTGTACTGTACATAGTACATTTACATACATTACATAGTACATAGTGATAGTACATTTTTGGAGGTGATCTTCCCCTGTATGTGCTAAATTGCACAATACAGAATAAGGTCCGACCGCATGAGATCAATCCTTCGTTTCCTCAGCATGAGGATATGAAGTATTGGGATCGCAGACTCTCTACCGTCGTTTTTAATGTCCTGTAGGATGAACTCGACGAGTTTTTGGAAAGGGTTCTTTTTGGGGACGACTTTACGATTCCCTAAAACTTCTAAGTCCATGTTGTATCAGAATGTTGTCGCTACGTTGTCGATGTCAAGAGTGTCAACATTCTCTCAATGTTGCAATGCAAATGTTGCAATGACAGTGTCGCAGCAACATTCCAAGTGAAAACATTGAAGCAATGTTTTCTCAATGTTGTACAGCAACTTGCAACATAGAGCAACATAGGCAACATTTCAGAAACGTTTCATCAANCATTGAAGCAATGTTTTCTCAATGTTGTACAGCAACATAGAGCAACATAGGCAAAATTTCAGAAACGTTTCATCAACATGCTGTGTTACTTGGGTATCTTGTAGTGTAGTAAAATTGGTTACTTCCCAAGCAGCAGACGGTGAAATAGAAAAAACATTGGGGGAAATATTGGGTTTCAATGGAATTAAAGGGAAGATGTGGGAGAAGAAACCTCATACTTCCAACTGAGGTTTAAAGAAAACCATTGTTGATGTTTCTATAATATACGTAGGAGCTGTTGGTGGTGAAATTAGCAGTAGAATCCCTAGACTTATGGAAGGGAAAGAAAGGTGGGAAAAAAAGAAAGGTGTCATATTATGGATGTCTGCTTGTCATGGTAAGAAACCGTTTTAGAAAAGAAAGGCGAAAGTCTCCTGGCTTCATGGGAGACAAGATTTTGTCCACCAAGGAGAAGCTTGTGGTGAAGATATACTGGATAAAGCCAATGTTTCCCTTGCTAGACAGAGTTTCTAAAAAGAGTTTCAAGTTTTAGGAGGAATCCAGGTGGAGGTTCGATACATGCATGGGTATACCAGAGTTTTGGAGCTATCAGATGATTAATTATCACACGTCCACGATATGACATCTTGGAGGAACGAGGAGTCCATTTTGCAATTAAAGAATTGATTATGTGCTCGGCATCCTCCCAATTCTTTTTTACCCCCAAATTCTGCGTTTCCAAGATATACACCTAGAAGTTTCAGATTCAGACCCGTTTTCTTCCATTGGAAACCACAAGGGGAATCATTTCTAGTTTGCCAAGATCCACACCAGAGTCCTGGAGTTTTGGAACATTTAAGCAAGCATTTGAAGATTTTGCATTTTTATCAAAACAATCACGGAATGATTTGAAACCAGATTTCAAATTATGAAAATTGTGATATCATCTGCATATGCAGAAACAATATGAGGACAAGGAGCCATGGGTGAGTGGAATGCAGACTGTGCTAGGTGACAACGAATTAAATGGAGGAATGGTTCTAAGAGAAGGCCAGATAAAATCACCTTGTCTGATGCCTCTATTCCCTATAATTCCCATACCTATAACACTTCCTTATTCTTCCCTATTTTTTAAAATAGGGTTTTGATTGATGAAAACGACTAAAGGAGAGAAGAGTTCTAAAGGGTGAGATATCGTGCGAAACACGGTCAAAGTCCTTTTCTTGAGCCACAGAAATATTACTTAAAGTACATTTATACTTATTGGAATACCAGATTACGTCACGAATGAGGTGGAGATTGTTGTGAATATTGCGATTAGGGATGCAGTATGTGGATCAGGTCAGGGTGGATGATGGTGGTCAAGCCACGTTTCAACCAGTGGTTAGAACTTTTACGAAGATATTATAATTGTATTCAGGAGTGTAACGGTTTTTAATATCTAGTTCATCACCACCATTTGGGACTAAAGTGATCACTCCCCGTCGCAAGGAAAGTGGGAGAAAGAGAAAGGGGGGGGGGGGTTGGGAGAGGACAAGAATATTTCATACAAGGGTTCTCTCAGTATGGCCAGAAAAAGGTGTCAAATTCAGTGGTGTCCAGGGCTCTTGCGTTTTGAAAGGGTTTTAACAAATTTGTCACAAATAGAATGGTGAAGAGCAAGTAAATATCATTTGATTCACTTGTCCCCAAGACTGGATCATGGTACAGTTCTGGGCTGATTTCTGCAGAGCTGTGACTAAATAGAGTGGAAGGAGTAGTATGTATTACTTTTAAATTGAGGGTGCATCATTAAGTATATCTCCAGTGGCTTCATGTCTGATTTGAGTTAAAGATTGTTTTCCAAATAGAAGTAATTGGTTGGAGCATCTGTTAAGGAAAGCACTTGTTCTCGCGATCTGTCTTCTTCTACTATATGACTGAGGTATTGTAATTCATCTTGCTTCTTCACAAGTTGCCAATTGGAACAGTTGGTGAAGCGTCATTGTTGGTTCTATGGTCGCTAGACATTGGCACTTGAAGCCAACCTCTTCACTATCCCTCCAACTCCGTGAAACACTCATTTTGTGTCAGGTGGCTGAGAAGTGCCAAAAACCAAAGCCTACCTCATGATTGCACAGGCGGAAGGAAATTTTCCGATTTTTCTTAGAAGAGAACCAAATTAATCGTTCAGGAAGTCAGGATGCGCCGAACTCATGTTGTTTTTCTGAATTCTCCAACTTCGTGGAATCACTGTTAGAACTTGTATCTTCTCACTTCTCCCTGTGGACGCTCGGAATTTTTCTTCCGATTGGCTAATGATTTAATTTTCTGTTAGCCTTTTATGATCACCTCCATCTGATTCCACGTTAAGAGCACCCCCAATCTTCTTTAACCAATTTCTGGAAACTAGGCTCGTGTAAGCTAATGATATGAGACTTCGAATGCAAACTTTGATTAATGAATTCTAGTGTCCTAATTTGCTCATCAACCGCGTTAGTATGGCTCCTTGGACTTCATTAACTTGATATGAAAGATGATGTACTAAATTCTTGGTAACATCGATATTCAGGATATTTTCTTCCTGCAATCATCAAATATCTTGGCTCCAAGTCGAAAAGAAGGGAGTTTGTTTCACATCCGTGGCAAGTCAATAATGGGAATGCAATAGGAAATCGTCCACTGTGGTTCATCCATCGCTCTCATTTCCCAATCAATGACATGGGGACGAATAGCCCATAACATCACAAAGTGATGTTATGCTGAGCGAGCCTGAAAATAACAGAGTGCAATTACTATAGGTTCTCCAAAGAAAGTTCTCTTCATTTTTTATCCTAAACGTGTATTTCGTTTTTATTGTATGGATGAGGGCATTCTTCCAATAGTGTGTTTGTTGATTTATCTGCTATGACGTATTAAAGTCCTTTTGAAACCTCTCCAAAGAAAGGAAAGACTCAGGTGAAACCGCGGCAGCGTTGGTTACACACATAGACGTGCAAACGACGTATCAATCTTACAATGTTGAAAACATTGCGAGAACGTTAACTGGTCAACGATACATATACATAACATACAGTGGAAGACATGCGAACGAATAAAATTTCCTGACTGCAAATTGTGTTGGCAACCACTTGCCCAACATGGTTATTTACCTTACATATGCAATCAGTACGCATCTCTAATAATTTTTGAGCAGCACTTGATGCATCATTCATGATATTACTTATATTTCTGACTATGAAAAGAATGACTTATTTACATGCATTACACGCATTTTGCATTTATTTGTACTTTGCAGTGTGTTGCATTTCGAAATCCGTCAGATCTCTACATTCTCTCACGATTCATGTTTTGTTTCAGATTTCTGGCTTTTAAATGCAGAAATCACCTCTTTAGATGCTTTAATGGCAATTTCGCTTATTATAATGCAGATAACGGGTGTGATGCACCTTTATTGCTAATTAGATCTCTAGAATCTGTCGATATTTACGATATGATTCGTATTTATGGCTTTAAAAAGCAGGATTCATCTCATTAGGTGCGTTATTGGTATTTTCGCTCAAAGTGATGCATATACCGAGCGTAATTCCTCTTCTTTGCTTATTACATCTGAACATTCTGTCGATATGCAGGGTATGATTCGTATTCCTTCCTGGAATAAAACCCTGGATTCTGCTCTTTTGTTCGTTAAGTTTTGTTCGTTAGTTTCGCTTATTGTGATGGATGTACCGGGTGTGATGCATCGTCACTTATTACATCTGTACATTCTGTCGATGGTCATGTTATGATTTGTGTTTCTGGCTTTAAAAAGCAGAATTCACCTCTTTTGAGCGAATCTACCATTAATGCATCTAAAGTGA